TGATAAGAGATGAATGTAGACAGTAGAGAGTGATGTCTGAAGTCCCTGTCATTGACATGTGAAACTGCTCTTCAGTCACCCCATAAAACTTTTAGTATTCCTTATTGTCATCCATATAGAAGATGAAGCCTGAAAATAAGAGGTGCTCAATTAATATCTCAGTTATCTGTTTTCAGAATTTACAGAAGAAACCAGAGTCCTGTGATTCTGAATCCAGCATTCTTTGTACTGCAACACATCAAAATACAACACTAAATAAAATCAGAACAAAAGATCCCACATTAAAGTCTTCAAATTGAATTGTAATATTATAGCTAGACTATCTCACATGCTCAGCCTCCATATCAGTCTGGGTCCAATCAAGGGAGAGAAATGATTTATTTAAACAGGAGAATATTAATATAAGAAATTATCAAATTAGGGTAAGAGTATCTATAAGAAAAATCTATATACTTTCTGTAGAGGAAAAGGCCCTTGGCCTTGTGGTTTCACCTCAAAATCAGCTTGCAAAGGGCAAATTAATTGGAGAAAAGGCACACACATTTATTTAATGTGTATATAGATGAAAACCTTCAGAATAAAAGATTCAAACATACAGGAGACATTGCTCATTTTTATGCTTTGGTTCAACAATGTATGGAGAGCTGTGTAGAAATATGATTGGACTAAAGGTATGATCTAATGCTAATAGACTGAGTGGAAAAATCCAGCAAAGTCTCACTGTCTGGATTGTTCCTGGCCTCTCTGAGCATGGGGTTGGTCCCTCTCTGGAATGGGAGTCTCGTGACCTACAGTCAAACAAGGTAGGTCAGATAATTTCTTTATGGCCAGTTTTTATATGGAACGGAGGAGGGAAAATCAGAGTAATATTTTTAGCGTTTATCCTGGCTTTGGGGAAAAAGGGTTCTGGTTTCTATAACTCACCTTGGGGAAGTAAGATTCTAGCTTCTATGGCTAGCCTCTGGGGAGAATGGGACTGAGACAAGATGGCAAGATGTCAAAGAAAAACTTTTGCTTCTGAGGCCTACATTTGGGGAATTGTTTTCTGAGTCTCAACATATATAAGGGCGGAGGGAGAGTACTCAAGGAAGGACAAATCTGGAAAGGTGCTCCATTTCCAGGGCTAAGGTCCAGACCTTGCTGAAAGTCTATTGTAGTTGCAGTCCAATGGACTGCAGAAAAATCTGACAGTTTGAGGCAGACCTGGTCTGCAGTCACTGAGCAAACAGGAAGCAACCCTCCAGAGGGCAGGTGAGGTGTAGTCAGGCTGCAGGCAAGCCCCAGACAGCGTATGGATGCAAGGGCATACAGAGGGAGTGGGATCCCCAGTGGAACCCTCTAGCACATAAGCAAGGCTACAGCCAGTGGCCAAGTATGTGGTCATGCTGAGGAACTGGGAGTGCCAATGTGGCAGGAGGCCTGGAGTATACCACATCTTGTCAGGAGAGCTGGATGTTACAAGGACTGTGGAATACCAAACTGGGAAGGACTCTGAACAGAAGGAGTCGGGACACTGGAGCAGGTGCATGGTGTCCATGTAAAGATGGTGAGAGCACTCTCACCAGGCCAGTCTGGAGCTGTAAGGGTATAAGAAACCACAGATTCTGGGTCTATGGCTGGCATAGTGCACCACCAGATACTCTTGCAGTCACAATGTTAACCTACCACGAACTGGAAACAGCAGGAATCCCTTCCACTTGCAATGCAACTGTAGTGCTCACTACTGAGAAAGCACGCCATGTATCTACTGTAAAGGAGAAATGCCTAAAGCAATTCTGTGCATTATCTCTGAGCACACATTGAAGGTGAATTTGAAGCTGAGGTGCAATACATTGATAACTGGCACAGTCCATTCCGTTGTTTGCCTCCATGTGAACCCTTTGACCCACATCCAAATTCCCCTGCAGCAGCAAAACAACTTTTTCTACCTAACATGATACATCAATCCTTGTAAGTGAAGTGCTCACTTTTACCTAAAATTAGATGACCAGGATTTTCAAGTGATTGCAATTATCATAGGATCTATTAAGTATTTCTCAAATTCAGTCAGGTTCCCACTGAGTATTACCTTACCTAAAGACAAGTTAATCTGCCTTGAAGTTGTGCATAAAATTTAAAATAGGAACCAGGATTTTAAAAAAAGAATGATACAGATATATAAATAAATGCATCCATATGATAAACATAGAGAAATATGCAAAGTAACAATAGTCTTTGTTTCTATAATTTGTCTCAAGGTCTGAGCTTTTCAAGTTCAAATTATAATTTTCTTTCACTCTCAGCTAAAATCTCAAAAGCTTTCTTTACATCAGTTCTTTACCTAGTGAAGCTATCCAAACTTTCATTTCCCGGGGGTGTCAGTCAGTCTTGAACTACCCTACATTTGTTGTTGAGGTATATTTCCATTAACATTTCCTGTTGAGCACATGAAGTACGGAGAATAATGGCATTGCAAAGCTGTCCACATCCTAATACTTAAAAATGTAATGTGTTGTGTTATAAGACATATAGGAATTAAGATTGCTGATTTAGGCTGGGCATGGTGGCTCATGTCTGCAATCCCTGTGCTTTGGGAGGCCAAGGTGGGAGGACTGCTTGAAGCCAGGAGTTTGATACCAGTCTGGGCAACAAGACCCTGTCTCTACACATGCACACAAATTAAACAGGTATCATGGTGAGCACCTATAATCCTAGTTGTTTGGGAGGCTAAGATAGGAGGATCAATTGAGCCCAGGAATTTGAGGTTACACTAAGCTATAATGGCACTACTGCACTCCAGTCTGGGCAACAGAGCAAGACCCTGTCTCAAAAATAAATTATTTAAAAGATTGCTAATTTAAAATAGGGAGATTATCCTGGATTATCTCAGCGAGCCCAATCTAATTACAATGGTTCTTAAAAATGGAAAAGGCAGAAAAGGGAGAACCAGAGATGGCAGCTGAAAAGTCAATTCACCACTGCTGACTTGGAAGATGGAGGAATGAAGCCATGAGGCCAGGAATGCAGGCAGCTTCTAGAGAGCCGGAAAAGGCAAAGAAACAGATTGTGCATTCGGCGCATCTAAGACTGCAGCCCCAGACACCTTCATTTTAACCCAGTGAAAATCATCTTCGACTCTTAACCTCCAGGACTCTAAGATAACAAAACTATGTTGTTCTAAGCTATTAAGTTTGTAGTAATGTTACAGAAGCAATAGAAAATGAACATACTGAAAGTCAAATGTTTATCTCCATGGATTACTTGAAAACTTGACTCATAAATTAAGAGCAAAAATAATAGCCATTGAGTCCCTGAAGAACGTTTAATCTTTTATCTGAAAACATACCATGTAGATAGTATACAACCATTCATAGTGCATTCAGAATTTCTTCTCACGGGGCAACAATGAATTGCAGCCACCATCCTCCCTGTCAAAGATATTCCTACCATCTTCCTCACATTTCATTTTGCCCTGCATTTGGAAGTGCTATATGCTGAAGAGCAGCATGTCCAGGATGTAAACTCAGCACTAAAATATCAAGCTATTATCATCTTCACACTCCTTTCAAAACAAAACAATTTCCCCTCATTCTTACCAAAATCCTGTTCTGATAACTCTGTAACTGGGCTCAACATAAAGTATTCTAGAGGCTGAAGAAACAGAATTTAGAAACCAAACTGTCACTTTCCTCTAAATGCAACTCCAGGCATATCCTTCAGCTGCTGAAGTACTGCGGAAGTTGAACAACCACTCATTGTGTCTGTAACACCTTCTTCCATAAGAGTGATTAATTCAATCTATGATATTCCCTCCTATATACTTTAACAATCTTCAGGTCCCATAAAATGTCCTTCTAGATACCCTGTGTTCTGAATAGAATCTCCAAGCTTTGGAATCTGGTTTTCCCCTTACAGGGTATTATCTAGTAATAACTAGATAATTTATTTTTAAAAAGTTATTATCTAGTAATAACTTCCCACACCACTAAAATCCAACTCACCTATTTTAAAGGACCCTAGGCTTAAAATTATCAGCAAGCTCTTATACAGGTATACTAAGGCCATACCCCGTATACAAGGGGGCACACTTCTGTTGGTAAAGGTGTGGCTGAAAATTCAATCCTATGTTATGTGAGAAAACCTCTTAGTGTAAGTCATTTGTTCATAGCAAAGGCACAAAGTATGACAGAGTCACTGCCTCAAAGGCAGGAAAAGGTTATAATACAGCAGTGGCACACACTCGATGGCAAAATTACTTAATATCCTGGATTTTAATGAAATATGACCAACCCAGGATCCATGCATTGTTCCCCAGAAGCAGACAATCTTCATATGGAGACCATGAAAGACCAACAGCTTGATAGCAGACACACAGGAAATGTGGGTCAATTTCTTGAGACCAAATCAATTTAGAGATTTGACTTGGCGTTTAGTCTCATCCATATATGCTCAAGATGATTCAAAAGTTATCAGCCTCATTTTTGATTGCCAGGATCCTTGTAGCTACTTTTTCCACCAAATTCTAGGGTATGATCTGAAGTTATTTTTATGAGTTTTACTTTTAATAAGTTAACCAAGGCATACATTCATATGAAAAACACAAACATTTAATCAAAATCTTTTAGAAAATTGGGCAATTTAAATACACAGCCAAGATAGGGTATGCAGTACAGTAGTGGTCCTCAAACTGTATTAAGCATCACAGTCTCCAGCAGATTGCTATCCCTCACCCCGAGTTTCTGAATCAGTGGGTCTACAGTGGAACCCAAGATTTTGCATTTCAGATGAGTGCCACCATGCTCCTGGTGCTGCTGGTTTAAGGAGTATACTTTTTAAACCACTGCATTAGAACATGAAAAGAGGCCAGGAGTTCGAGTCCAGCCTGGGCAGTATAGTGAGACCCTGTCTCTACAAAAGGCAAAAAACAAACAAAAAATTTTTGCTTTGTGTAGCAAAAAGAAAAGCAAAAATAAATAAATGAATAAAATGCGCGCGCGCAGACACACACACACACACATATATATTGCTTTTTGTAGAGACAGGGTCTCACTATGTGGTGGCATATACCTATTGCCCCAGCTGAAGTGAGAAGAGAAATTCCTTTCTTTTCAGGAGGCTGAGAAGAGAGAATTGCTTGATACTGGGAGTTCCAGGCTGCACTGAATTATGATTACACTGCACTCAAGCCAGGATGGCAGAGTGAGATGCTAAATATATTAAAATAAAGAAAAACATGGAAAACACAATTTCAGTCTTGTAGGAGATAAGGATGCTCATCAGCCAGAGCTAAGGGATTGGGGTGACTGTATCAGGATTAGAATGGGGATTTCCCCAATAAGTGTTTCTGTTTTGACATTTGATCCTAGACTAATTGCCTTTTCATCTCTGGATAAAGTTTAGAGTTTTTCATCCATGTAGGAAGTATGTTACTCTCATTTCTTCTGAAGAATCGCCTCTATCTTCTTGTTATGAAGCTGAGCATTCTGTTCTCTTTTCAACACCTCTTCAAAGATCTCATTATGCATGTAGAAGAAGATGTACCCAGTGCAACGCCTATCCTCCTGCATCTGGGCCTCCTGGATATTTAACACCTTCATATCGTTGTAAGTGAGCCAGGTCTGCTTCTCAAAGTCATAGGCATCACAGACATAATGGCCTGAATTTACAGTCTTCCCAAGATGGCTGACAACACTAATGAGCCGGTAGGTATGATCTCCCTTATTGGCATTTCTTTCTGTTTTCTTAGCTTTAGATTTTACCTGATGTAAAATTTCTTTTTTTCTAGGGTTCTTATTGGAACCCATTGCATGCAAGGAATTCCCGTTAGGCTTCTGGAGATTTAATTTTGCAGATCTTATGAGTTTCTCTGTGCGCCCCTGGGCACCTGGCTTTGGAAGGCTTTGGGGCAGTGCCTGCGTAGGAACTTGTTCACAGAATCTCTTACTATCATAATTCTGAGTCTGTTCAGTCACTTTTTGGAATCCTTCTGGAACTCTGATATTTTTATCTTCACAAAAATCTTTAGTAGGATTGACAACCCTATCAAAAGCTGCAAACTTACTCATTTTCATGTATTTCTTTTGTTTTGGATTTTCAGGCACTGCTTGAAACAGAGCTTCTGGAAAACATGTCTCTGGGCTGCTGGTAGGTTTACCTCCAGCTTTGTGGCACTGAGAAAGTGAGAAGTCTTCTAGATATGCCATTAAGTAAGCTAATGGCTTGTTTTCAATTGATGCTCCATCTCCTGAGTGTACAAATTCTGGCTCCTTTGCTTTTGACTTTTTCCCTATATATTTTTGCTGCTGTCTTCTGCTTGCCCCTTTAAAGACTGTCTCGAATTTTCGTTGTTCAGACTCCTTATCAGATCCAATGTATGCAGCCAGGATATCTCTGGATTTCTTTGTTGAAGGCCATGATACACTGATGCTTCCAGAAGTCATCTTTCGAATAATTTTTAATACTCGGAAATCCATAATGTCTGCATCCTCACTCAAGGGAAGAGGTGGTTTGGTGTCTTCATTGCAATGAGAAGATACTGTTAATATTTGGAAATGTTGACTTCCTGGTCATTCTTCTTTAATGAACAAAACGCATTCAAGCTGTAGCGTTTCAGATGAACAATAAGGACTCTAGGTAGCCTACTGAATGAGTGCACTCCAAGAGAAGTCTTGTGCTTACAGTCTGCACACTTATACTCAAGCTCTTCTGCTGCAAAATAAAGATCAAAAGTAGACTGAATGGATGATGGAAATACTTTCATTCCTTGAGGAAGGTTGATGGAGAGGTAATTACTCAGTTCTGTTTTGAGAATAACCTGACCACAAGCTTTACAAACAATAGAGTGCAACAACTCCAACTCAAAATTAGTAATGACAGGGCAAGAAAACCCACTGGTGTCAGGATCATCAGCACAAACTTGTTTAGGAAAATGATATTCACAAACTTTACTTTTAGGCTTCCAAATTGTGTTGAGTTTTTCTGTGTTATCTTTCAACTGATCTAAACAGTGACCTAAAAACTCATGAGCATCCTTCTGTGCATTGCCATGGAATATCTCTGCAACTGTTGACATGACCTTTTTAATATTCAGAAGTAACATCTCCTTGATTTTTATATTATAAATATCTTTAAAAAAAAGCAGCTGTGCCAAACTCATGGTAAGAGCATTAAGAGGAATCTTACTCAATGGGAAACCCCGATTAAGTATATCATTAGCAAACGATGGAATTGAAAATAAAGACTGTAAAACTGAATTCATATAACAGGTGTTTCCCAAATTGGGGAGGCCATGGCATAGTTTCTCTGGAAACGATTCAGAAAATAGTTTTAATTTATCCCACTTTGAGTAATCCTCACTATACCCCGGTTGTAACACAAATGCCAAAATCACTTTCTCAGTGAGCGCTTGAAGGAGACCAATGTCATCTCGGTAAGGATTTCCAGTAGTGTTAATGAAACATGAAGATTCACATTTCAATTTCTTTTTCTCTTCTGACTCTTTTAACTTCAGTTGTTTCTCTTGTTTGTAGCTTACACACCTCAAGCGATCTGCCTTGGATTTCTCGTATTCTATAGAATTATTTTCTTTCAAGAATTCCTCATTCATCTCTGGGCTAGACAAGAGCATTATTTCCCTCTTCTTGTGTTGCTTTTCTAGTAACTTTCTGCAAGTAAGTGCTGACAATTTTGATTTAAGCAAAGGCATCCTCTGAAGGACACCCGTCCCACTACCTTTTGCTTTCTCAAAAGATTTGTGACTTGATTTCGCACCAACTTTGTGGAATGAAGTTTTGTTGATTTTCTTCTGTGGTCTTGTGCTGGAAAAGACACTCCCACCTTTATCAGGTCCCACAGGTGACCGAACCTTCTTTTGATGAAATCCATCCAGGAATATCTTCAATATTTCAGCATCTGTGGAGGATAATCCTTCGACAAACAAGTATTTATTACTTTTTAAACTTAAATGCAGGTGATTTTTGTTTCCTCTATAGGATCTAAAGACTACACTTCGAATACTATCAGTTAGCAGAAAAGTCACATATTTTCCATTTTTGAAATAGAGCACCAGTCTGACTTTATTCTGTTCTTGCATTGCTCCAATGAGTGCTTCTTTTGATTTAGACATACGAGTCCTGGAATTCCATATTTGGACAAGACCATGTATCATTTGGGCAGCCATGTTTTCACATACTTATCTTCGATTATTGATAATCTTGAATTTCCAATCTGTTTTGCAAGTTCAGCTGTGGAGACAACACCAAAGAAATGGTTCATTAGTTCTCTATGCAGAATGATCCTATTTCTACTATTGGTTTTATACTAGAGTCTAGTTCAGGTTCTATATATCCAGCTCTTCATTTATGAGATCAATGCCTTTTGAGAGCCTTCCACAGTTGCATGAAGGCAGAGTCTTGATTCCCAAGACAAAATCCCTATGGGAAAAATCAAGAAATGTTATTTAAACTATTACTTGGCTTGGACAAAACTCAAACTCCACACTCATACACTACATCTAGTTTCCACCAAAATATTGGGCTCCCTTCTGATTAATTTTCCCACTTCAATTGAAATCATGAAACACTTGGAAGACTTTCAGTACATAACTGAAAAAGTATATATACTCAGTAGAGTCTCAAGTGCATGAATACAATATACTACTCTTCCTGTTACAGAATGACCCCAGAGGACAACTACAATAAGTGAATAAGAAAGTGAAGGCACCAAGAGGCCTTCAACTCAGTAACAGATGAAATCTTCCTTGATGTCTACAGAATCTCATATATGGGACACTCAAAGTAAATCAACCTACCTCCTTCAAAATCTAGTTATGTTCCTACATTTCACTTGGCACTGGGGCACATCATTGCATTCTTCCCGCCTACTGACAAAAGTTTAAGAATAACAGCTTCTTACCTATCAGATATAGGCTAGTGAGGCTCCTACAGCCAACTCTGGCCATAAGGCCCACCTAACCAGAGCTAACTCCCTGTATTCAAAACCAGTGGGAAAGAATCAGATGTATTTCGTCACGGAAAATCAGAATCTCTGAACAACTCTGGAGCCCATGTGAATTACTGAATAAGTTAACAGATAGCACTACAAATATTTGCATCAGAAAGTATACATCCAAGAATTAGCTGGAAGTTGTTTCCTCCTCAATAGTTAAATATTCTTCCTGAATCTTCTCTATGTTCTTAACTTGCTTAAGCAAACCCTGTCATTACAAATAATACTGTAGGAAACTTCTGTTCAGTCCCTGTTCAAATTATCAACATAGCAAAATTGGTGGAACATAAATTAATGAGATTTTTGTTTTATAAAGTATTTCATCTATCAACCTATGTTCAAGGAAGGAGGGATGGTATCCATCCGTATACAGAAGTGCATATGCATCCAAGTAAGAGAATGATTATATTTTTCATGGTAGAAATGGGGCCATAAAAACATTCAAGCACAGCACAAATTTAAGTTCTCTGGATAATTTATATTTCACTGTCCTACTGTAGATGCTAAGTAAGGATTTAAACAATTTCCTTTCCACAAAAAAGGCAATCTTAATTGTTCCTTTTTATTTCAACAACTTGAGAGAACCTGCAACCACAGAACCACTCGCAGCCTATTTAAGTTTTACGAGTGCAGCTCATCTGTGTTTATCAAAAATTATTATCTTCTTTCTACCGGTAGCTGAAATAATCTAAGACCCTCTTGACATTTCTTCTCTCTGCCCTCAAAAAATACAGTTAAGAGACATTCCTTCCTCACAGTCAATCCTGCCTACATTTCCCTCCAGATGAAAGGAGGCTTATTTGAGCCCACTGAGCATGGAAAGTAAAGATTAAGAACCATATTGCTGATGTACAGGCTGAGTGGTCTGACCACTGCCTACTTCCCTAGGACATCTCAAGCTTAAATCCTATTCTTTATTCTGCCTTGATTGCTTGCTTTGAGAGTCTTTTAAACTAAAATGTATTGTTTCCCCAAGACTCCCTTGAAGAGCTCTATGTGACTATTCCATGCAGCCTAAAATAAACCTCAGCATTCCTCCTCCCTTGTCACCCCCACACCAGATTCAAAACAAATAGACGACAGCTATGTTCCAAAGTTATGAAAGCCAACATGCATTTCTCTCATTTTACCTACAAACTCAAACCATTCAATTTGACTTATCAACTACTAGTGCAACACTTCAGACTCAAAGGATAGCCAGACATTCACAAAACTGCACTGCTTCTGTCAGATTTGGAGGCATGAACTATGGTGCCAAGCAATTGATTGTGCAGAAAAAAAAAAAACTAATAGAAATGTCTGCTCCATTATTAATTTACTAACTCACTCTACATTGATCTTCATGGTCACTGAGAAAGTTGCTGAGCATCTGCTCTATGCTCCCTGCATATTATGATTTGCTGAGTATCTGCTCAATGTTGGGTATTGCAGCTGGTGCTCTCAGGGACACAATGGATGTGAAGATTCACTGCACCTAAATGATTTAGACTCTAAACATCACAATAAAAGATGGGACTCCTTTAATTTAAGGAAGGTTTGTGTTGCTTTTGGAGTATTTACCCTCTGTATAGTGCATTTATATCTCCACCACTCAGGCTTTCATTATTTCAAAAGGTAGAAGACCTTGAAGACAAATCTGTATACACCTTTCAAATCTGAATTTGCATTTCCAAATTCCAAGGTGTATATCACAAAAGAGTAACAAAGAGAAGAAAATGAGACAAAAAAATTATTGTCTTTCAAGTATTTCGGTGAAATGGATGATGCTTTAAGAAGACAACCGTTTGTTTTGAAAAGTTTAGAGGGAGCTTTGGCCTAGAGGCAGATTAATAAACTCTAGAAGGCTCGTAGGCTCAATGACTATGAGAAAGTGACATTTCTATGTCAGTTCTTCTCTGCTGACATGAGTACAAACTGTCATCAATTATATAGAATTGAGTGTGCATTTATCTTACTGAATAGGCGAGGGTCAAGATATATGGCAGTGTGGTACAGGTGGTGTGTTTTAATTATCTTTTTTTTTTCACTTCTTGAAAACATGTGAAGTAAGAGAACAAAGATATACTGAGAAATCCTGCCAAGTTACTTAAGAAAGTCTCACTGAACAAAAATGAAGTACCCATGAGGTGGTGTGTCAGCCCACAAATGCAATAAGTGAAAAGACAGAGCCAGGTAATGGCATCATGAGTTTCTAACCATTTCTGGGTATCTCCAGTAATCCCAAGCAAGGGTTCTGAAAAGCAGAACAACTTCAACTCACATTTATTTTAAACTACACTTAGCTTAGTGATCCTGGACAAGCCAATTCCTCTATTAGGGCCCATTAAACAAATCGGGAAATATAAAACTCTCTTTGAGGACTCCATTCTGTGAGACTACAAGTACAAAATGCTTAAGCATGTTCCACTTCCCAGGACAGTCCAAATAAAAGATACTTTCTCCAACGATTAGATGATGTGCACTAAATCTGGACTTGGAACCCAGGGGCACAATACCAAAAACTATATATGGAACGATGGGTAGGGTAGGAATATTCTAGGTTTGGCAATTGGGAAGAGGAGATATTCAAAAGCCAGCAAGTATCCATTTATTCATTAAATAAATATGTATGGAGTACTAGAAAGCATTACATTAAGCTCTAGGTTGAGAAGAATGAAAAACCCACAAAATTCATGCTCTCAAAAAATTTTAATTCTAGCAGGGGGATAGAAAAGACAGTACATACACACAAAATATGGAGAACACCAGATGGTGGCAACTGCTAAACGCAGCAAAGTTAGAGGAGGCTGGGTGCAGTGGCTCCAGGCAGGAGGAAGAGTAAATGAAAAGGCCCTCAGGTGAGAATGGACTTGGCACGTTGGAAACAGAAAGCAGGCCAGTGTGGTAAAAGATCTGAAGAGAAACAAGTTGCGGAGAGTTTGTAAAAGAGCAGGAGACTGAATGGACTAATAACCTCGCTGAGCAGCACCGAGGGCTAACTTAGGCTAGTAGTCATATATTTACAGCAAGACCAATCTGCATATTTTTTTTCTCCAGCCAGGATTAGCTGCCCAGTAGTCATAACCCAGGTGTGTAATAGGCAGAGCCTTGAATTTAACTTGCTTGAAATGTTGCCATTCATAAGTAACCAAGGAAGAGGAAGATGGGAGCTGAAGGTATCGAGAAGCAAATGATTTAAGTACGGAACCAGAAAGGGTGGAATGGAACAATGAACAGAAACACACGAAAAGGCCTAAATATCATAAAATGCTATGGAGTAGGGGAGAAGCATCAGGGGACTAGGAGTCCAGCTCTCATTTCAGCAGCCATAATTCTGTCCCCTGCTTCTAAGCAGCTGTCAACTGCTTGCAGACTTCCTTCTATTCTCCACCCACCTTCCTTTCTGTTTTTCTATTCATTCTCATCCTGGCTCCAAAGCTAGAAGTAAATAATGGAAATGGAAGTGGAGAGTTGAATGTTACGGGCATGTGGGCTGGGTTAGAGGCAGACAAGATCAGGTGCAGGGAGTTGGGGGCAGCAAGCAGAAGGGGAAAGGAAATCCTTCCCTCCCCTTTTTTACCCTCCCAAGTTTGGGTTAAAGGTCAACACATCAAGAGACGCATTGCCTCTAGAGCATTAGCAATTAAATCCTGTTATTATGTTGGGTCCCAGCTTCAGTGTGCGTGGCTTTTCAAAATGATTGGATCAGGGCAGACTCTCTTTTTCTTTCTCGAGCTTAAAGGTGCATTTCTGTACTCAGCAAACGTCGAAGTCATTGTATAGCAGAGAAATGCCATTATTTTGTCTCTTGACATACACTGCACATAAATCTCTCCATAGGAGGCCCTGACCAAAATGGGAAGAATTCTCTAGACTAGCAAATTGTTCCCATGAACTATTTAAGCTTTGAACCCTTTCTGAGTGACAGATTTGGCAGAGCATTTTTTTCATTCTTTAAAAATTATGCCAGTGCAAGTAGTACAACGTAGCTGATTAGGAAAACAGAATGCGAAGATTATTTTCCAGAATTTAAATATGATTTCATTAAGAAAGAGTGCTCTTTCATGGGAAAGCTTGCATTTGTTACACTGAATAATGATAAATGAGGTTTTTCTTGAAATTAATCCTTTTTCTCCTGTTGAAACCTTCCTAGTATTTTGCAGCCCTTTCTGCTAACTATTGCATTCATTTGTTTACTCACTTAATAACTGAAATATTTGTTGATACCTAGTCAACTATGGATATCAACTATGGCCCA